TGAGCAAGACCACAAAATAAACCAGGAAACTCAGCCTGAGTAGCTGACCCTCCCCTCCACCCCATTGGTCAACAGAGTAAGACTCATATTCTTCGTTACAATGCATGATCATACGTCGAGCTGGCTAAAGTTTAACAAGACGTGCTACGAAACTGTCATATTAGCCGTGCAAGTCACATCTCGCTTTTAGCGACTACCACCTCTTCAACCACATTGACAACTTCCCAAACGAAAATTGTTCCAGAAATCGCGCCGCAGTCGAGACTGTCTTCAAAGATTTCATCGTTTTAAGAAGTACGGTTTCGCGTAACGAAAATTGTGTAGATTTTACAATTTTTACTCCTACTATTAAGATCTGTCCTGATCTGTGTATATTCACGCTCAAAATACAGGTTGGAGCTGGACATTACCCACTAGACACCTAATACAAACATTATTTGCAATTCAAATTGATATTATTTTTTTCTGTGGAATATCATGTGGAAGAAGGCTCCGATCACTGAAGAGCTTCGCTTTAGTTACGGCCATAAAAAGGTATTCGAATTTGGCCTTCGGGTGTGGTCCACCAGATTTGCTCGTTGAAAATGACGGATCCGCGTTGATATTTCAACTGGCACAAGACCAGAGTGCTCTGATTACAATGCGGTGGTTCCTAAAGAAATTTGGCTTTTCATCGCCACTAAAGAAGAATTCATAGTCATTAAATGTTAGAATATGATAGCAGAGACCTTAATAAGGCTATGGGCAGTAGAAACAACGTAAATCCTCACTATAACGCGGTTTCAGAGGGATTTTTTTAGGGAAAGTCAAATGCTTGCGAAAAGCCGTATTTCGAAGTGCTATTCAACATCCTCAAAGTAAATTATCTATTTACCCTTAGTTCAATCTTATTTATGCTCAGTTGTTATTGCAGCAACTCACCTTCATACGCTACCGCAAATGGACAAATATTGCGATAATCAACTACACAATCATTTCGTAATTCCGAAATCAAATTTTACGCAACAAGTCTTTTTCTGATATATCTCACTCCGCACAATACCCAAAAGCCTCCTTGAGGAGTGAAAATCGCAAGACAATGAATAGTTTGGCAAAAAAAAAAAAAAAATCATGCGGCACACAAATGTAATGCTATTTTATCGACAACTCTCACCAATTTCTGCTTTTTGCGTAACTCAGGAGTTGAAATCTCTAAGAAATTATAGAATAAATTAAGAAATTATAGTACAGACCTTGTTCGATCGTTCTACGGATATTCACTTATTATTATAACTTTGTTCTCTTTGACAGTGGGCACGGGCAGTTTAGGTGCTTTACGTATTTCTTCTTAATGAAATTTCCTCAAGACCCATTTCCGGTACGTCGCAAAGTTCTCTATTCCTCGAATAACTTAAATTGATCGCGTAAACCGCTGAAAGAAGGATGGAAAAAGAGCTGGAAATGTGTTGTGTTCTGAAAGACGTAGCTTCTGTCTTAAAATGCAAAGATTTCTACGACGACTGAAGTTTTTTCTTTCTAAAAAAGTTTATGGCAATCACCGGCAATTTTAGTTAGTCTTTCTGTAGCAATAAAGTTTTCTCAGAAGCAAAATTTCACTGTATACTACCAAAAAACCACTGTGAAGTCGAAACAACGCACTGCAAGTGCAAAATGTACTCTTCATTCCGTTGGTAGAATCTACTAAGGAGGTCTTTCCAGAAATCAACCTCAATATTGAAACTTGTACACACCAGACTATCAAATAAATATAAATCATAGATAATTTAACAAAAATTTGTAATATAACAGTTGGAAGTATGTTCCATTTCCAAAGGATGTGGGGTCTCGCTGAAACGGAGGATTTTTCGACACATGGGAATCATTTCACTGGAAAAAACCCTTTATAGAAGTCTTTTCTCTGATATGCCATCATTAAATAGTGTTAATGCCCTTCTAAAACCTCAAATCGAAATATAAAATCTTAATCCCACTGCGGCGCGCCTAAATGCTAATTGTTCGACACGTGGCGCGGCAATCAGTGCATGAAAATTCATGCATTTGGTCCGCAACGTGATATCCTAAACGCATTCCTCGAGAACATTGTTTAACTTGACAAACTAACAACTTTCATTAATGATTAGTAAAAAAAATAAGAGGGCCACAACAAAGCAGCTTCCATCTTTATAAACAGAGAAATTCTCACGAGCTAAAGCATCACGTTATTTGTGAACAACTATGAGAACTCTTTGTCAATGCCAAAACGAAAGTTACGTTGTTATCAGACGATCTAAGCTATGAACCTCTCAAACTTACGGATATATAACTGAATTACCACGCAGCTACACCACGACTATACTGCGTCATTCTCTCACAACTAATATTCACACAGTAGAAGATGACTACAACTAAGAAGGACCTCGCGAAGCCTTCAGTGAATGATAAAATTACTTTATTGCAACGAAAAGGCAACCTAGTGATTGAGAAAACCTATAAACTGTTTTCTAGCAAATTTTTGATTATTTAGTGATTATCCACTTCAAGAAAGACTTTAATAAGACGGATAATGGATTAAGAAAGATTCCGCACACCATATTTAGCACTCTAAAAGCTAAATAAACATTTCGTTTGATGAGCATAACATAAAGGAGTAACTGAACAGAAAAAAAAGAAAGCTGTATGAGGCTTATTTAACTTTCTATCAATGCAGTTATCTAATCAAGCGGATACCTGAGGCCATATTACTTAGTTAATCGAATCCAATGCTCTATCAGCACTGTAACAAAAGCATATACACCAGACAGTTTGAAAGTTTCTCATTAAAAGAGAAAACAATGTGTCCGCGAGATACAACTCTGAGGTACAAAACAACGACATAGAATAATAGATGAAGCTCTGGACGTTGAATAAATCCTAAGGAATACGCCATGCATTTGACTTCATTAAGCATAGTAGAAGTAACTAAATGCATAATAGGCCAGCAAAATGACTTCTGATGCCCTATGATGTATCAAAGTAGCGATGTTATCCACACACAAGTCTGCCTCCAATTCACCAACCTGCAAAGGGGTGGAAGGAGTGGTGAGCGTGGGACGCGGGATGGAACCAATTACCAACTTCTATAACGAGACATCTCTAATCGCTGCGCAGTACACTCGCGAAACAGTAGTAAAAGTCGGAAGTGTTTAGGTGAATCCTCAGCCCGCTTTGAGTAGAAAGAAACAGAAAGCAATAAGCATTTTGAGCTAATGACTTCCTTATTTGACGAGGCACATATTTGCTGTCCGTTCATCAAATGCGCTTCTGTTTAAGACTTAGTTAAGATCTTATAGACAGTAGAAAACATCTGAGGAACAATTTCACTCAAAACCTATCTTGAAAATCAATCAACTACAATTTCAAATTATGCTTCATCAGAGTAATACAAAAAACCCTAAAGTTTTTTTTTGAACAAAGAAACCTCTTTAAGTAACAAAAATCGCGCTCCGCTTGCGTTATCGATTTGCTGTCATCCGCAAAGGGTTGAAAGGATTTAAGAAAAATCCAGCCTTATCAGCTAAGAACCAAAGAGCTCAAGCGGTGTTCGAGGGCCAATACCTGGCTGACACGTGACGGTGATTGAAGATTGTAAACAAGCATTTTGATGGTGAGAAGAAAGGGATTATGAGAGGACGAAATCTGGCTCGCTGAGTTTTTGCACTAACGAAGGTGCCTGGAAGTTTCGTCAAATAGCTGACTATGGGTTTCTTGACTTTTTGCAGCGTGAGTTTCATCGGATCTAAGATAAGCACAAGTGAATATATCGAAAAGTAAGGGAGATATTCTTTGTCATTTTTCTTGTGGGAAATCATTTTTGATACAAAGTAGACCTCGTATTTTGCTGAAAACAATGTTTCTGTGCGGTAATATATGTAAACAGCATCGTCCATCGGATTTAATGAATGGAGCTCACTTCATCTAATATGCAATGAGCTCATATGGCATTCGTCGATGCACCACTAAAATACTAACATTGAAAAGCTTCTCGTAATGTGGAAAACTTCTCGAGTTTTTGAGCCCTATTGTGTCATAATTGTTATCTAAAAAATTCTCTTTAAACACAAAAGAATGTCACCATTTTTCCTAAACCATATATAGAATAGAAATATAATAAGGTTGAAAAAAAGAAAACGCACATAATGATGAGGGTTTTCATTACTCAATGCTGAATTCTACACAAGAAACTGGATGAGCAGAAGTTTATGGATGTCAGAGCTCATACGTACACAAACACATAACCTACAGCAACGTAACATGAAGGCCTGACAGCATAGGAATACGTGGCGGATGACGTATGATATTATTCGGGCAAGATCCAACAAAAAACAAGCACTGACCTCCTCAAATAGCGTCTTATATGAACAAAATGTCCGTCTATCGGAATAGCATCTCAATGCAAAGAATTGGCAAAACAACTGTCATAAGCAAGCGTCATATGACAGACAGCGGAATTAATCAAATAACTACTATGACGCCATCGAACTCCAGCATTCTATAAGTACTGATACTACAATTGATCAAGAAAATTCGTTACCGATCAGAAGATTTTTAAAAATCCTTGATAAATGAAAGGCCAAGACAGATCACAAAGAGACACCAGCTAACTTTCTAATCTCGGAGAAAAGTATTTCTTATGCATACAAACGTTCTGATAGTGGTCTGCTGTTGGACGGCACAGAGGAAGGCGTGAAGAAATTTCTGAGTTTTTCCCTTACTGGTATGGCAACTTGGATCATTTCCATTACGGTGAGGCACGGATTTTCCAAAAAGTAATGTTTTGCTGGAGAAAGACGCTCCACTAGATTATTAGCTTAGATCTCGGAGAGCTCAGAAATGTAGTACGCCTCGCGCGTTATTGCCTTTATCGTGCTTTTAGCTCGCTTGAGAGCTCTTCTCTTAAACTATTAGTGACCATCGATAGCGTAAGTTTCAGCGACCAACACTATGCTTGTTTTCCTAAGAGAATTGAGTGGTGAGCAAAAACACGGCCTCAGACGGGAATCGAACCCGCGCTTCACCTATCCGGAGATGCGTGCTCTACCACTACACCACGAACATATTTGCGCCAGCACACATTCTTCAACATCTCTGTGTTATGAGTGGTGGTGCAAATGGGCTCGGTGGTGTAGTGGCAAAGCACGCTTCCCCGGATAGGATGAAACGCAGGTTTGATTCCCGCCTGAGCCCGCGTTTTTGCTCACCATTCAATTCTCCTAGGAATATAAGAAACATCAAAAGACTGCGAAAATGCAGTAAAAATACTAGAAATCTCGATTATGCTTGTTTCTCAAAAGGCCGTTTTACTGCACTGTAGCAGGGAAAATAAGTCAGTAGGGTGTATGGTGGCTGTGAATCGATAGCTGCGATCTAAACCGCGCAAACGCGACTCACATGCGAAGTGCCATTTTTACTAGTGGATTTGAGATTTTTCTTCGCTTTGACACAAAGTCCAGATAGAAGATAAAATTCTGATGCTCGGAGGTTTCCTCAACATGTTTATATATAGGCTGTTTAGACTTGGGATTAGTAACAGCTCGATGTGGCAATATGTAATAAAAATGAAAATAAAAAGCCCAAGCACTAAAAAGATAGAGTTAGGCCACTTTTACAATTTTACTGCAGAAAAACTTAGAAATCTCTACAAAACGTAGAGAAAATTTCCAAATGAACAACGAAAATTGTCGCAATATCGAGCTATTTATGTGAAAAATAATTTTATTTTGATGCTAAAGTGCTGTCGAGAGGCCTTTCTGAAAATATAGTACATTTTTGATTTTGTTGCGATCTGAGAGCTTGAATATTTCCTGGTAGTCTAATGGAAAATCTTTGCGCACCAAAAGAAGTTCCTTTAAGAAATTCCTGCCTGACAATGAAGATAATCCGAAAGCTTCAATAGAGTAATAACAGTTGTGTAAGTGAATATGGACTTAATGTCTCTATTGTCAAATGAGTTTAATGTCTAAATTGTTAATTGAGCAATAACATCATAACCAATCATTCGTTTTCGGTAACTTTCCCCTATCCGCACTCATTTTCAGATCCTTGTAAGAAGCGCATTTTCTACTATATTTCGACGTCTCAGCAGACTTCGATAACTCAAATATCAAGAATTTTAATCTCGTGTATTATTTTTCAAATGGATTTGATATTGCGCTGTAACAGTGAAAAGAAAATTTTGTTTTACAAAAAAAGCAATTTGACTGGACAAAGCTTTTCTTTTGAAGTTTGAATGACAATTTGATAGCATGAATTGCAACGATCTTAAGAGCAGACTCGCTTTTAGAAAAAGACTTCTTAGCGCGTCGTTACAGCCAAAAGAATATTGGGTTTTGCACCTGGCGCGAACTTCTTGTCGGCTAGGGTGTACGAGTTGCTTCGCATTGATCACGCAACGCATTCACTAGGGCTGCGCGTGAAATGCAATCTTAATCTCAGTGTTGCAAAGTGATATTTGAAAATCTAATACACCATCGAAATTGCTGAGATTTGAGCTATCAAATGATTACTAAATTTTGAAAAAAGCTTCGCAAAATGCTTGAATGTGCAGTAAAATTTTTTTGTATCTGTAACACCGTAATATAAAAGCTAGTGAAAAAATTCTAAGCAATTTAAAATCACTTAAATCCAAGCTATCGGATGGTTATCAAGAACTAAAAGAAAAGCGGAAATTGCGTTCTTCATAAGGTGTTGAAAATAGGTGCGGATAGGGGAAAAGTACCATTTTTTCTAATAAAATTCACACGAATTTGGAATCTGCTCAAGACTTGCTGAAAGAAAAACGGCTGCTTGCTTATGACTATATGAGAAACTAATGAACAAACCTCATATAAAAGGTGATAATACTCGCTAAGTTTAGAGAACACATTTTGTTCTTGATTGAAAGCAAGAACTCTATTATTGATCTTAAGCTTTTCTAGAGAAACGGACGATATAGTAGCCTAACTGTCCTCCGTTTTCCTTTGAAATTACCGCGAGTAGCAAAAACACGCAGCTCATGGATTTAGAGCATTGTTCTTTCTTGAACCACTGAAACCATTCTTTATATTAGCTAGTGATATTAAAGTGATTTTCCTCTCTTCTGTCCCATTCTAGTGAGATGTCTTCTCTTTCACATGAAAAAGCATAAGCACAAGTTGACAATAATGCAATGACAACGCTAGGCATAAGTCGCAATATCATATAAAGCAGCATAATGAAATCTTTGTGACAATGTGACGAGGATGAGTGCATTCAAAATGAGGAAAAAAGCAGCAGATATAATAACAATCGTCTTATTTTCGCATCACCTGTTCAACTTACGGCAAACATTGACATTAGAGAATGAGTCCAGTCGAGAATGAGTTGAAGCAAAATTTCGTAATTTTACTGGAAAACGTCTGTTAACAATCTCGTGTCCACTTAATAAGAAAAATACAGTTAATCAATCAATGCCGAGGTTAATCAATAGTCGGCGCAGGTAGTTGAAATATTGATGAATGTTAAAAACTAGTGCAAAGATAGTGGCATGAAAGAAACGTGTTCGTTCTCTTAAGCATTTCCTTCACTCTTATTCCTTGTGCTTGTAAATGAATATAGCCGTCCAAAGATTATGTAATTACTAAGTAATTTCCCAATTGGTCGTTGATCATTCGCTAATAAAATAATGGAAAACCACTTGATGCTGATGACCAAGCTCTCAAGAGAGACGAAAAATGAGACATCAGTATGTACAAGAAATTTACAGCTTGATTTTTTAAAAAGGACTTAGATCCGTTTACTCCTTGTTTACATGCTTAATTTTTATTCTTCCTTTAGCATATAGTGAATATGTTTCATTAACAAAAATCCTACCCAAGGCTAGTCAGAACCTCGAAAAAGATTGAAAATTTTACACGAAATCACCAGACAAATGCAGTAGAATCAGTCATTTTATTAAGTTTTACTAGGCAAAATTTTATTTCACAAAGTTACCGCTTGTTTCAGATAATCGACAAGTACGCTTACCCTTAAGAATCCACTTGTACTGTAGAATTTACCAAAGCCGGGTTCGTTCATTAACAGTGCATTTGGTCCCGAATGAAATCAGGCAGCTATGAACAACAAACATTCGCAAAAACATTCTCTGCGGATTAAGTGAAGCTAGTTACATTGTGTGCAAATATGTATAAAATCAGATTACTTCGCCTGTTTTCTTAAGAGTATGAATGTATAATGACTTGCAAGAAATATGGGAAATACTCTGCGTTATCATTGTAAAAACATCAATAAGTACTCCAAAACATTTTATTTTTGTAATTTTTTGATGCCCGTAAATCCGGAGCACTGAAGACGACTAAAATTTTTTGAAATTTCGCAAAATGGTGCAGGCCATAAATTCAACATTACATTCGGCGTTTGCCTACGTTGTATAAAATCCGTCCTCTTCAATTTTATTTCTGTTTGAAACAGTAGCTTTTATTGGGATAGAAAGAAGGCTGCAGATATTCACAGTATAATCTTATGGAAATGTAAATTGATTCCTATCTTGCTGGTATAGGTCTGCAATTTCTAAGTGCTCTCGTTCAAAAGTTGAGGTATTTTTTATTGGAATTCCAATGACCTGTAAAACTGAACAAGGTAATGACTGCCGGTCACCACAATGTCATGTAATTCCATCATCTGACTTGAGGTGATTTTTTTGCTCGGCGTCGATTCCTTTATAAAGAATTTTTAGCCTCAGGGGATTGGCTTAACTGAGGGAAGGTGATGAATCCCAATAGGACGAAGCAGGCGCCTGCATAGCACTGGACCCAACGGCTCAAAACATGTTTTTTCTGAACAAAGCAAGTAAAACCAGACATGGTTTGACTTCCTCTTTGAATCAAAACAAACTAATCGAGAAGAGTCGAATCGGTTCATGGCAATATAGGATAAAAAAAGCGTTCGGTAGTCTAAAATCTCTCAGGAATTGTCATACATTCGATTCCATTAAGCAACGTTGAGGCAGCTCTGCATATCTGCTCTATATAATGACTTGCGAATGGCTACCAACGTGCCAACAGCGGTGTGGAACCACTTACACCAATAAAAGTGGAATTGGATTCTGCGTCGTTTCTTGCTTTGGGCAGCAAGAGGCCATGTGTTGTGATGTATGCATGACAAAGGTCAAGGGAAGAAAAACAAACGGCGACAAAGTACGATGAGACAGCTGCCAATGTGAACACTTTTCGTTACTGCATTCTATTTTTGGGACAAAACTCATTTGATAGTCAAGAACAAGCAATGAAGACTTAACTAACGCGACACCCGTACTCAAGCAAATAAAAGTAGCGTTACTATCAGAGCGGAATAAGAAAATTTCTCGATTTTGTCAACATCAGTTTTGTAAGCTTTGGAGTTTAGTTTTCAAACAAGACTTTGGTCTTCATACTATGCGGTATCTCAAAGCACATCTTTCGTCATACATATATAAAATTGATGGAAAGCATAGATTTTATGAATATACTGTTTCTTTGTTTTTAGGTTCACTAAGAAATTTTCTCCTGCTTACACCTCGAAAACGGCCTTAGGAACACGAATTACATGAACTGATTGGAATGTCGTTTAGCCTTGACGCAGGCTTGCAAAGTGGACCATATGGACTTCACGTTGCTATAGTCAGTGTAGTCACTATAGTGCTTAATTGCGTCAGTTGACCGTGGTTCGTTCAGCTAGACGGCACCTTCGGACAAGCCTTTTTATTATACTATGTTGAAGAAATGACAGAACTATTTTACAGTTCCCAGCGATATCTTTGAGGCCAATGGCTTGAATTTTACCTGTTCAATTCTTGATAGCTGCTTCTTTTGATTTTTTCCATATAAGGAAAACCGTTCTTTTCGCCCTTCATCACTACTCCCTTCGTATTCCACAATGTGGTAATTTGAGTCAAACCTTGATAAGACCTTGACTTTTTTGAAATGTCGGCTGACTCTCCGTTTTCCAAAATAGGCAAGCTATCTCGACTATTGGACATTCTCTCATATCTTAGGAAGGACTAATTAATTGCGACAAAATTTGGTTTTCTGTGCTGATCCTAGAACTTTTCCACTGATTGTGCCGTCTCGTATCATATCCCTCACCCACGAAAGTTTTCGGATGTCCGCGTAGAATCAACTGCCACCAAATGTCTTCCTCACCAGTGCCACTGAATGCTGACCAATTTGATGTTCCAAGGAGTCCTGATCTAA